GGAAATATCAGAACTGAGTCATAAGAAAGTGATGTCTGGTAACGTTTCGTTTTTCTATGTATCATTTTTAATGAATTTTGAATAACATACAATTTTGGTAGGGTATCTTCATTCATTCCACTGTATGTGACTTCACGAAGTTAGTATCCACAAAATGAATTTTGGATAATAGCTGTTATCAATTTCTTTCTTCCAATGAAAACACTTTCCCAATATCAGAACAAAATTACAGTCTCCCGACGCGCGTTTCGCTAAGCAAGTTAGTGTCCTCAGGAGATCATTATGATTAAATTTCACTACTATGTTGGTGTTTTTATATGGTGGCGTAACTACTACCTGTTAGTAGTACCTAACTACTACCTGTAAGTATAACCCAACTACTACCAGGTATTGATCCTATGCCAAACTACCTGTTTTTGTCATACCTTTAATTTGTGTTAGTGAATATCCCCTACAATTTTTTGCCAATATTCATCTGTTTTTTATTATTATCATTTAGAATTATTACCTATGAAATAGAACTATACATAGAACTCATTCCACACTTTTCAATTTCCAAGCTATCGAAGGCATCCAAAAACCTTTTGTCATGTACCAGTCTCAAAAATTTCCCACTAATTCTGTGGCCGTCCTCTATGGCATGTTGAGCGACACTAGATTTCTCCGGTCTATGAAACCGAACATGCGAAACATGTTCCTTGTACCGAGCCAATTATAGTCCGTTTGATTCGACCAATATATCCCTTATCACAATTCTCGCAGTTTATTCCGTAAATCTCAGACTTCATTTTTTCCAACGTCTTGTCTTTCAGACTGCCCAACACTAGTTGAAGGGTTCGTGCAGTTTCGGAAGCCATCCTTATATTGAATTTTTCGAATGTTTGGACCAACACATTGGTATATTTGGGTTCATATCGAAGCACTATGAATTTTGAATCTTCCTATTTTCGAAAAGTCGAGGCATTACGAAGATACTCCCCAAATTTTTGTTCTCAAATTAATTTTGCTCCTTATCTTTTTTTTCCAATCTTATACCTTTCCCCGCTCAAGGAAAATGTGAGCAGTCTGTGGACAAGATATTGTAGTTACGCCATTTTTTGTTGTGGGCAGGTATCATAGGAACAATAATAGGTTGTAGTTAGGTAATGAATAGATTTGGGAAGCTGAATCTGTTTAAATGAAAATCTGTTTAAAATATGTTTTTACGTATCAGCTGTCGCCCCCATACGAACAACAACTCTCAGAAGTTGGGAAACTTGTGCGAGATAAGGACTAACGAGATCTTACCTTTCAACGTGTGATTCCTAACACGGTTGCAGAATCATCCCCGCTTCAACCAGATAAATTGTCTCGAAAAAAATATCTGGTCGAGGCGGGAATCGAACCCACGATCTTCCGATCGTGAGTCGGGCGCACTACCACCGTGGCCAATTCCACAACACTTGAATACAATACACTTATTGAATGAATGAATTGAATAGTTTTTGTATGGAAGTGTATGATTATGAATTTTTATTGCAAACCTCTTTCTACTTCCGTCATCATCATTTTTCACCTGCAACTGAGTGATCTAATTGAAAAGAAAGTTTATGTGAACATTAAATTTTTCAAATTTTTAGGTTATGAATTTGTGACAATTATTAATGATTACTAACTTGTCAGGCAACAGGAAGTATCAAAAAACGAGGACATAGTAAATTTATTAAGATTTGGTTTGTATAAACCTAATTAGCCTAATAACCAACGCAATACATGTTAGAGATTGAGGCCATGTGGTTTGGTCAAAATGTGATATGAATGAAAGGCAACTTGTGACAGAATATGTTAAGACAGGTCATGTTGAAAATAGAGGTACCAACCAATTCAAAAAGCAAATTTCCCCACTCTTTGAGGTGGTCCCAGTTCCTCTCTCACTATTCCCAAATCCTAACCTGCCAGTTAATTCAACCCCAGGTATTTACAGAAAACGTACTTTTGAATTCAGAAAATCAATAATAGATCAGTCAAGCATATATTCATACTTCTAAAAAGAAGAATATTTGTGCCATAACCAAACCAGAGTTGTATTGAAGTGTTCATTTCATTGCCCCTCATTTACCCAAATATCAGAAATTTTGATATTGGTTTTCCGTGATAATTTTCAAATATATTTCTGTAAAAATAATGGGATCGTTCAAAATTCAACATTTTGCAATTTTATGAGTCTATACAACCAATTCGTCTCGAACAATCGTCTCTATTATAACTCTACTAGAATTTGGTTTGTCACATTACAATATTTTTTCATTAACCCAAAACTTCAGGATTACAACTTCAGAAATGACGAAATTAAATGAATCTTTGAACCCAAATTTTTTCCTTTGAACCTACATACATATTTCAAGATTCTAGGTTCAGTAGCTTCAGCTGTATGTTAACATGAGAGTGTCAGTCAACCAATAGGTACTCACCTATACAATACTAGCTGTTCCTGCTGTTTTACCAGCGTTACCGTGGGAACCTATCCTATGTGTTATTCCAGGTCATGATCTATGTAATATATCCACTTACATTCGAATCCGCTAAGCTGTTCAGTTGTGAAAAAGTGAAAAACGTAAATACCTACATTCATCATGAAAAAGTCTGAAACTTCCTGAATTAAAAAAAGTCATTTTTTTGAAAATATTTTTCTGCATTACATTGAAAGTACAAACTTACCGAAAAAATGTAGTGAAATAGACCATTTCTATTCGAAAATAGAACGTGAAAGCACAAGTGGAAAATAGTAACTTGATTGAATAAACAAATTATCATCTGAGGTTGTAAGTGATACTGTGATTATTAAAAGTCACGTTTCACCTGCCCTTCTGGTCCATTTTGGGAATTTGTTTAGGGTTAGCGGATCTTCAAGAGAACACAATTCATTTCATTTTCAGAAAACGAGCATTATAAATAGAAATAACTAGACGAAATTATCAAATTTGGTAATTATTGATAATATATGTCATCAACAATATCAACCATACAAGTACCTCATTGTTATGCTTTGAAATTATAGTATGTAGGTAGCTGGTCGGTTCGAGGAAGGTGCTTTGTTCACTCACTCCATAGACCGATGTGTAAGTCGGTGGTTCAAGCCACAGGCCAGATGATTTTCACTTGCTATCGTCCAACCCGTGTTAGGAATCACACATTGAAGGGTAAGACCTCATTATTCTTCAGCTCGCACAAGTTTAGACTTCTGAGGGTTGTCGTTCGTAGGGGGGCGACAGCTCATTAATAATTTTTTGAGTCATATTTCCTGACAGATATGAACCCCTATTGAAAATCAGTTCCTGGACATTTTTTATTGGTTATGTCCAAGCGGTTCATGGGTTGCAACAACAAAAGCAGTTTTAACAGAATTGTGTTATTTTCTCCAGTGAAAAGTTTCATCGCAATTCATGAATTCCAGTCAACTGCAAAGCTCAATGATGTGAAGAAGAGCTTTTTCAATTCCATTCAAAATACTACGGAATATTTTGGGAAATTATTCTTCACCGGAAAATCAGATTTGAAATGAAATATAAACTGTTCCACTCGAAAAATCGAGAAAAAATATTTTCAAGTATTCAAATTCGATAAAAATAAGATTGCATTTTGAGATTAACCCCATTGGAAGACATATCCTCTAATTTAGTTCTCATCGAGAATAGTTCCAATTCAAAAGATAGTTTTTTGTCATTATTTTTTGTATAATTTGCAAATCCTATATTTCAAAAATCACAAAATCTAAAATTTTCAATGAAGGCTTTGTATCACACACTCTATGTTAAAGTTCTCAACGGATAATGATGAGAAATTCTTGAAAGCTCTAATAATTGTCCATGGAGTGTTACATAAGTTAATTAAACAAAGATAGGGATGTGTAAAAGCATCCTCAGGTTTTCATGCCTTACGTTTCGTCTACTACTGCGGTAGACATTATCAAAGACAATGTGGTAACGGTAACAACAATCGAGCATCCACTCGGATACTGCGACCGTTACCACATAGCTTTGATGATGTCTTCCGTATCAGTAGATGAAACGTCAAGCATAAAAATCTGCAGACCACAGCCAAAAAGTTAGAAACAGCTTTAACACAGTCATCTTCGGCAGTGAATGTTTTCATTTCGTAAAGAAAAGGATTTTCAATAAAAAACTGTTACCATGATTCAATATTTTAATACATATGGAATTTGAAACCAACTGAACAGTTGTGATTTGAAAATATTGATACATCTTTGATAGTCAATAATAGTCTATACAGAATTAGAATGATGAAAAAAAATTCCACTCGAATTTATGAGATTTGAAATCATGAATTCTTTAACAAACTGTATCGCATCTAGTACTTACATGTTTGTAGAATCAAAACATCACACAGGTTTTGTGGAAAACGATCAAGTAGAAGTATAATGGATTCAAAGGAAATTTCATAATGAAATGAATTGGGAAAAAATAAATGAATAAACAAAAATCAAATTTCACTCAGTGTGATTACATTTGTGTAATCACTTATCTAAATATCCCAACTAGCTCATGACAATTGAAATAAATCCTAGTCCAGAAAATTCAATGAAAAATACTGTTAAAACTTCTTCTCATAATTGACAGAAAAAATCTAATTCGCAAAATTGAATTGAATTTTGACTTCTTCACTATAGGAAAATCCTCAAATAATTCTTCCACATCAAGGACATGGATGAGAGTGAAAGTTACCGTGTCTAACATGTCTAACATCTGGTTCATTTCTAATTGAATCAAGGATTCAATTAGTTGTTGTAATTACTTAATTTCGCCTTAAGTTGGGTGAAAAAAAAAGTTTAAATCACTTCAGCTCTCTATGAGAATAAAATATCGCCACTTACTTTCTATATATATATTTTCATGTTCAACTAATGACGAATCCCATTTAGGTTATTGATACTTTCCTTACTGTAATCGTTATTGTTCATTAGCAATTCTTCTTCGTTAGATAATATCACAGTCTTATTGTCGAATACTTTCCCTTTTACGCGATCCTCGATATCCTCGCCAGCGTAAGACAACAACGGAGAAATTTCCACTCCGTCACAGGAAACTTTCCCACCCGCATTTTCAATATAACTCTTATGCAAATTCAACAAATCGCGCCTCGAGGTACGCGGGCAATCAACATCCGCAGTATCAGCATTTTTCAAAGCACTGAACTCACTATTGCGAGGAACTTCCCAAGTGACGAAGTTGTCAGTGAACTGGAAAACGTCGAACACGAATTTCTCGATTTTGATACCGTTGCTAGTCGTGGGCTTGACCTTAGTGCCATCCGCGTCCACATAGGGAATTTTTTTCTTCGCTACGTGCAATTTCAGCTTGGACTCATAGTTGTTTGCGATTTCATTCAGGAATTTCGTAGAAAAAAAGTGATTGCAGATGTTGCCAGCTCTGAACACTAAGTTACCTTCTTCATCTCTGAGATTAGCGGTCTGTTCGGTGATTTCACTGTATTCAACAACCTGAAAAGAACCATCCACCTGACACACTACACCAACCGCCTCTGAAGGTCCAGATTTTTTCACCACCTTGGCTCCACAGTCGGCTCCTTTTTTGACGCAGTAACCAATGAACACGGGATCTGCTACCTTCACCAGGATGTTATCAACGCTGTGAACATGGACGTACTTTATTCCTCTGTGTTCCATGTCCTTCAAAATGCCGTTGTCTCTAAGTGCTCTATATATTCCGCCATTTCCATCTGGAGCCAAGGAAACAGAGTGTTTTTCTTCCAGAAAGATTTTTCCGTTGAAATCAAAGCATGGCAGAAGTCCTTGCTGAAAGAGAACAACATCTTCTTTCTTCAATCCAAAGTGGTCGTTTTCTCTCAGAAACTTCTCAGTGGTTTTATTTGTAGGGCCACTAGTCATAATATACCAACAGATTTTTCCAGCTAAACCAGTCTGTTGTTTCGCAAGGCTCACAACCCTGCGGATTCTCTCAGCTTGGATTTGGAATAGAGTCTTTCCTGAAGGAAGACCAACTGAGTACATTCCTTTTGGATAACTCACCCCCAGTCTGGTGCCTTGTCCTCCAGCCATAAGCAGAACAGCTACGTGACCGTTTGCAATTTCTCTCAGACCTGCTGTTCTATATTCATCAAGAAGTTTGGCGTTGATCCCTTCTTCGGATTCAAATTTGTCAGACGGTAAAGGCTTCATCTTGCTATCTAGTTTTGTCACTTCTTCTGTCAAAGAAGATTGGGCTTCTTTAAAAAGTCTATTCACCTCATCGAATCTGATAGTACTCAACTGTTTAAGGAACTGCGTTTTTTCTTCATCTTTCAGTTCATCCCAGTATTTCAGTAAATGAGACTGCTGGCAATCCTCCAGAACTTTTCGAAAATCACTCACGGCCGTCATTGTTGGTCACTGTCTGATTTCGTCTGTGTTTTCGGACATGCACGGCGAAGGTGCAACGGTTGACTTGCCCACGTTGTTTTACCTTGTATATGCCACGGTCGCCTTTCTAATCTCGAGAATGCCTCGACTTGCGTAGTGTCGACGGTACCATATCCACTGAGTACTTTTACTCTATTAATATGATGATAGTCTGTGGGTAACGGTGATATTTGTATTCGAGATCACTGAACCTTTGGTAGGTTAGTTGTAGCTGGAACAGGTATGATTAGTGCCTGTTCATGTTATTTACGAATGTTTATGAAGCATGAGTGTGGTCGTTATCAATATAGATGATTTAGTCTCATTACTGTTCAAATCATATTCTAGGAATTCAATAACTTATTCAGATTCAATATTTCATTGTTGGTTAATGTTTACATTCTATCGACGAGTATTGATTTCAATAAATTATGTATTGCACCAATTTTTGACGTAGCACTCTCAGTCGATCTCTTTTCTCGAAATCCATACTGATGGGTAGTTAGCAGATCAAATTTTTTCAAGTAATCTGAAAGTCTCTCATACATGGCTCGTTCGAAAATTCTTGAAAAGGGACTGAGCACCGCTATTCCCCTATAATTGTCAATATTTTCTGGATTACCTTTTTTGTAAACAGGTATTGTCTTCGACACCTTCAAGGCAGTGGGAAATTTCCATTTTCGACAGACATATTCATTAGTTTCGACAAATACGGTGAAAAGAGATCTTGACATTTTTTTATGAGTTCCATAGGAGTTTCGTCAATACTAAGAGATTTCTTATTTTTCATTCCACATATGATATTTTTAATCTCATAATCAGAAAAAGGTAAGAAGTAGAACAAATTGAACGAATTAATTGAATGTATCTTCATTAATTCCTAACATGTAACCAAATTCTTTTTACATGCTCTATATTAGCTTCACCTGTAGGTATGTATGTTTGTTTGTAACTCGCCTTTTCATTTCATATCGGGATCTGTGTTTGACAGAATTATCGACAGTATTTCTTGATCTTTCGCGGGCAGATGGCGCTGTACGTAACCTCCTTGATATAATTCGAACTCACTTTATATGTATTTTCTTCATTTGAAAAAAATATTTCCTTTAATTAACATTAACAAGCTTTATATCAGTTTCACCCGTATGTATGTATTTTTATTTTGTAACACTTCTTTCCCGTTTGAATACTCAGGATCTGTATTTGACAGAATTATCGACATTATTGTTTGATCAATTCGCGGGCAGATGGCGCTGTACGTAATCTCCTTGATACCCGTGGGTTAGGCTACCTATCGGGTGCGTCCCTGGGTGGCGGATAGGGGAACGGCCAGGGGACTGGATGCCCTGTCAGGGAAGCCAATGTGGCCTTACAGACGGAGTCGCCGAACTCCAGTGGCAGAAATAAGTAGGGTGAGAGGAACTAAAACCCCCGAAGAGCCACCGTGGACCAGCCTACCCAAGCTAAGGTGTGAGGAATCGTGCCGACAGCTGTATGGCCGCAGGGTGATATGCAATGACGAACGATCACCTTGGGGAACTGGGCGAAACCTCATTGTAATCAGCTTACCTCTGGTAATGCGGGACTCTGACAGAGGAGACCACCTCTTCCCTTGCTACACGTGGGAAGACACATGAATGAAACAACATAAACAACAAAAACCAATCCCGGAGCTGGACAGAAGTGCTCACCTCAATCTGAGGCGGTGGCTGAGGTTGAACAGAAATGCACAATCTACCGCTTGGAATGAGGCTGGACATAGCAGATCACCTGCAACAGCAAGGGCACTTCTTGCGGCGGGCGCCAAGAGCTCCGCCTTGAATAAAGGCAAGAAACCAGCTGCTCCTGCAGGAAAGCTTCCTCAATTGTGCAATTCCACGGGGGGAACCCCAAGAAGGTTGAAGAAACCGCGCAACGACAACGACAGAGTGTTTGTTCGGAGAGTCTTGACCTACACCTGCCAATATATAGAAGATGTCTCCTAGTGACCTGTTCTACTCTACAGATACAGAACCTCCTTGATATATTTGGAACTATATTTACACGTATTTCTTCATTTGAAAAAAGTATTTTTTTAACACGCTTTTATTAGCTTCACCTATATGTATGTATGTATGTATGTATGTTTATTTGTTTGTTTGTAACTCTCAAGCTCAGGATTTGTTCTTGTTCTCCTGAGGAAAGGTGTGAGATATGTGTGTCCACTATTATCCTCGATGTGTTATTCATCAAAGAGTTGCTGATGACCCAAGTGGTCGATGCGACTGTAAATAAATACATTCAAAACAAAATTTTGCTGATATTATGTCAGCCCATGTTACAATAGATCCGTCTAACATATCTGCTACCTGTAAATATTTATCAGACTTGATTGTTAGATCAAGAATACAGATAATTTTTTGTAGATAATATTCAAGTATTTCCAATGTGATGTACGTAAACAATAGTCTTTGAATAGATTTCGTAGAAGCAATGATACGTCTATTTTTATAAGTCTTTTGTTGCCACCTCATCTAATAATAATCATTTTAAAAATCAAGGGCTTGGCAGAATATAGAAAACAGTTTTTTCCGTTCAGTTTCTATTTCGAACATTTGCTATGGAATTGAATCAGATATTATTCACAGAATTATTACACAAAATAGTATATGGAAGAGTCGAAATTTCCCTTATAGACAGGCGATCCCGCAGCGATTTTAGGTTATTCTCGAGAAGTTCCCACTAGCGATCAGGTTGTGGGCAGCTCATAGCCTGTGGAGCACTAAAGCTCGACTTATTTCCCCATTCCCACCCCAGGCCTACCCGTACTTGATTCTGCCAATTTGACCACCAGCTACTGCATCCGGACTACAATAGGACACATGGAACACACATGGAACACCCATGGAACAAGAATCGCAATGCCCAAAGAACATGAGAAAATACCCTCACCATACTGACCTAGTCAGTAGAACACAGATAACTACAACAAAAATGATTCATTATCAAACTGAACGCCGTATTCTACGATTCTTTCTTTTTTTTAATGATAATTGTAGCTCTTTCAAATGTGTTGATGTACTTTCAAATCGGGACTAAAACCAATTTGAAGAGCGATTCAATGACTAAATCGAGGACCCAATTCGAGGACCAATTCTAGATCTCTAGATACAAACCGATGACATCAGATTATCATTATTTCACAAATTCTTTCAATATCTCACGTTGGTGTCGAATCTAAGGACATAGCCTATCACGCCGATGACTAGCGTTCAATTCTCCGATCTTTTTTAATTCCCCAATGACGTGTGCTGAGACATCTCAAAGGTGTGGAGAGTCAGAAAAAATGACAGGTCTGGTCGTCTTTTTGAATTATTCCACAGAAAATTCAAATCTCCCACCACTTGTTCTGAGATACAGAAGCGTGTGATCTGATTAGCTGGCAAGCTGCGTGATAATTTGAGGACGCTACGTGACAATTTGGTACACTTCGATTGATTCACCGCTGGGTGACAGGACACCATGTGACAATTTGGTGTACTCTGGTTGACTGGGTGATCTGTCTGCCTTGTATGGCTAACTGAGAGGCAACCTGGCTGATGTGATGACAATATATTGGTGTTGATAATGATAAATTCAGAAAATCCTAAAGCAATGTTACTGAATGTTACTGATAATTATACAATCAATAGTGATACCCTGACATTTTATATAAATAACAGATTCAATATCGATGCAAGTTTCACATTTGTGGAAATGCCAAAGAAATATATTCGAAGCTGTCATTAAAATAATATCGAATGTTTTCATATCAATAACATAAATATTGAAATGATTTCACTTATTATGCCACATTGGGTGGATGAAGTGAAATATATCTTCAATGAGTCTCTGAAGCAAGACATTTTTCACGATTTTTAGAGAATTGCTAATATATGACGTATTCCTGAAATAGCTCTATCTCACCGCTGGGTGACAGGACACCACGTGACAATTTGGTGTACTCTGGTTGACTGGGTGATCTGTCCGCCTTGTATGGCGAACTGAGAGGTAACCTGGCTGGTGTAATGACGTCACAATCTGCCTGAATAAAAGCTACTCCTACATTGAATAAAACTGGCTATACTTGATGAAAATACATATTAAAACTAATTAATACAGTTTATTATATGATTTTCACTATAAAGGGTTTCAGAAAAACGGCAACACGTGTTTCGCTATACAATAGCTTTCTCAAGCGTGAACTAGTTTAGTTTACGCTTGAGGAAGCTATTGCAGTCAGATGACTCTGCGTGTGGATAGCCATGTTGTGGGAACTATAACGACGTAACTTCTCTCTCCTCAGGCTGAAAAAATTATGGAATAATTTTGGCGGCTTGGAACCAAATCTTCTTCATTGTTATTTTCTTCCGGAGTTAAGTCTGAGTTGTTACTGACTCTTTAAAATACATTACTTTTGGTTAATTGAATTCTATTACCGAAAGTCATTAGATCTTCTTCCCTATGAGGTCGACTTATAGTTAATTCTTGAACTAAATAGTCCAATAGGAAGTTCATCATTCAGATATCTCTTTTGGAAATATCAGAACTGAGTTAGACGGTAATACAAAAACAATGTCTTGTGAGCTGTCTGTGTGAAAGGGTTATATTTTTAGGAGTGATTAATTTTTGGGAAAAAAAGTTTTTGGCTTTCTACTACTCCATTACGATATCATCGATGACATAAGCAGATCAAACTTATTCCGTGACATTAAAAATCGTAATTCATGAATGAATTGTGTGTATTTTCTATAATGTTATCCAATTTGGTACTGAAGAGCCTTATTATATGAAAGTAGCTGTTTTAGGAAGACATTCTTTCAGTTTGTATCTGAAAGTTACTTCTTTGCATGATCTACACATCCATGTATAGAGTTACTTATTTTCAAATTGATTACTTCCTTCCTTTCTTTGGAAGATTCCCTCATCTTTTTTTGTATCAAGATGAAGTAGTAGAAAGCCAAAAACTTTCTTTTCCAAAAAATAAATATATGTTTTACAATTAGCAGAATATATAGGGTCTTCCAACAGAGACTTACGAACTTTGACAATTAATAACGGCCATCTTGTTGAGGATACATCTG